GCCATGTGACTACTTCCCCTTACTATCCTTCTACTAGCCTTCTCATGCTGAAAGGTTCAATCGCAATCTTCGCTCCGCTCTCATAGCTTTCCATGCTGACAAGCAGACTACCTGGGATCAGGAACTCCCTTGGCTTCAGTTCGCTTTCAATACTGCTCACCATGAGAGTCACAAGGCGGTCCCTTTCGAGCTGTTTCTAGGCTATCCGCCTAACAACCCGTTAGCGAATGTGTGGGGAATTGGTGACCTTCTGCCACCTCCTGTTGCGGCTGATGTCAAGGCAACTTGGCAAGCGGCCAGGAGAATCTTGAAATGATCAGAGCTAGGGAATTGGTCCGGAGGAAGCACAATCGTGGTAGAATAGACAACCCTTTCAAGGTGGGGGATTTGGTGTTTTGTAAAGCTCATCCTGCCAGTTCGGCTGTGGACAAGAGAGCTGCAAAGTTGTGTCATCGGTGGTCAGGTCCCCACCGCATCCTGAGGTTTTTGACGCCTGTCACAGCGGAGCTAAGAGATCCACGGACTGGAAAAGTGTTCCGGAGGGCGCACATTTCTCATCTCAAGCCCTTCCGCGGAACTCTTCTGTAGGCAATTTTCTTTCCTCTTGTGTCTGGGTGGGAAGTGCACTGGGCCAGAGAACCTGATCACTTCTTCTGTCCCCTGTATTCTGCGAAGGAATTTCCCTCACAAAATTTTCCAGCTCTGGCCAGAGCAAACCCTGGGGGTGAGTTTTTTCCCCTCAGTTTGGAAGTCCCTTGGCGTTCCCCACCACAGACACCTGAGTTGTCTTTCAGGTCAATTTCTTTTCAGGAAGTGGGGAGAGGCTTGTTTGTTTGTCCCTTTTGGAGAGGAGTGTCCTCTTTTGGGGGGGGGGGGGTTGAGCCGTGACTAATTCCACCGGCGAATGTCACGACTCATAATCAATGGTCAAAGTGTTTTTTGTATAGTAGGCTAGTTTAGTGTTTCGGTTTGTTACTTCCCACGACCCTCAACAAGGCTGTGCCTTGTTCTTATTACTCCGACCGCCAAGTGTCAGAGGCTCCGAGATTGTTAAGTGTGGTGCATCGGCTTAAATTTTCATCGTTCTACATCTTAATTTGGTGGCATGTTTTACATGTATTATTGTTTTAATTTCATAAAACCTCTTTATCATGACTATGCCTTATCTTAGTAATAGCATAGGTAAAGTTATCTTTTCTATCTTTATCTTTTTTTGTGTTTCTTTCTTGACACAATCCTGTGAGGAGTAAAGGTTTTAATAATGTATGGTACTGTAATTGTTGTTATAACATCATGAATGTACGATACTATCCATTTTTGTATTGACATCAATGTATTAAAATTTTAAATAATGGTTTAAATACAATTCTGAGAATAAAATATAAAAAATAATGGCAGCCCCTTACCGTACCGATTTTGTACGGAGAACCGAGGTACAAAATATTGTACCGTACCGAACCGTACCAACCTTAGATTTTCTGTACCGCAGACCCCTATACCACACAAACAGTATACAGAACAACAACAATCAGTAATTGCAACTCTCAGGCTATTGCAAACATGCGCATGTATTTAGTTCACAAAAGTAATTCTGACAAACTTTGTTATAATTTACCGAAAGCTACCCATGAGCCATGAAGTTGCTGCTGTGTTTCAGTCAGCTAACGGCGCTCCACCTTCTGTGTAAGAAAGAACAATTTCTGTAAAAATGCGGTGAGAAAATTGGTACAATTTTGAAGAACTGCGTGTTGTTAATTCCCTCACTGATGCACTTCTATATCCCATAGTATTTCAATTTGGGGATGGGGATTTTAAGGATAACATAAACCATGTAGGCCCAAACGTAACCAGGATACGTAATAAAATAAGTATAAGAGAGTTTTATAGCACTCGACTTTCTGCTGGAGACGACATAGACTAAGTATCTTCCACGGTTGTCGCAAACTTTTCCAAAAAATTTTTATTTTTTACAAATTGGTATCTGAGGATTGAGGGTGGCCACTTAAAATGGATTGATGATAATCAGGTTAATCTTAGAGCAGATACTTATCGAGGAATTTCCTTGGGCGGAGCCCTCGGGTATCACCTAGTTATTTTAAAAACTAATTGCTGACACCAGCTGGTTATTTTTTGTCCTAGGCTTAACTGAATTTTTGACGACTAGATTTGGTTGCTCATAAAAATGACCTTGTCTGACAAAGGTCATTTATTAAGAATATTTTACTAATACGAGGTTATAATATAAATACAGTAGAACCCCTCATATCCGGCCTACGTGGGACCGAGCCCCTGGCCGGATAGCATTTTGGCCGGATAAACCAACACATTATAAAAATGATAATTTGTACCTAATAAAAACGTCTGAATGCCCAAAAATAGTAGTTAAGTCTGTTTTGGAATTATAAAAAAAATATAGATTTGTGAAACCAACAAAACGTTTATTTAGAAGTCAATTGTTTACATAATTTACATACAGTAGGCCTATGTAGGCTACGAATATTTTGAACCCAGATACGTAACATACATTTATGTAAAATATAGTAAATATAGATGAATAAATTACTCACAAAAATTGGTTCTGATGATTACAGTACAGGACTACGAATATTTTGAACCCAAATACAAAACATAAATTGATGTAAAATATACAGTAAATACTGTATAGAGGAATAAATTATTCACAAGAATTGGCTTTGATGATTACTGTACTACGAATATTTTTAACCCAGATATATAACGTAAATTTATAAAAAATACAATAAATATAGAGGAATAAATTACTCACAACAATTGGCTTTGATGTACTAGAGCTTAAAATAGTCTGTTATTTTCTGTTGAACTTTCTTGTCCATTGTTTTTTTGAAAGCATAGTCCCTCCACTTTTTAAGTAACATCACGTCTACAGCTGTTGAAAGGTCCTGTTGCTCAATGTAGGCCAGCGATGTCTGAAGTGCGTTTCTCCCCTCCTCGTGGCTTATTTTGTCTTGTTCGGAAGTGTCATCATCTGATTTTTCAGCCTCTTCGTTTTCATACTCTTGAACAACATTTTGCACAATTTGTTCATCACTCAAGAACTCGTTTTCCAAATCATCATCGCCGGTTACCCACTCCTGAACATCTTGGTCCAATATTTCCTCACCGCCAGTTGATGCTAACCTTGTCAATTCATTTAGGAGTCCTACATTACAGTTATCATCTGAGCGTTCATCTGCTATCTGGATGAAATCTTCATTCACAGTGCGGTTGACTAATTTCTCAATATCTGGCCAGGCCTTCCGCCAAGACCTGACGAATGTAGAACTGGGAATTTCGTTGTATGCTTCGGCAGTCATGTAGATGACATCCTTTATGTTAATGCCTTTTAGAGCGGAGACAAGATCTAGGCTGTCACTGTCCATTTTCCCTAAAATCTCTGAAAGAAGTTTGCGCCTATATCGCCTCTTGAAACATTCTATAACGCCTTGATCCATAGGTTGGATGAGGCTTGTGACGTTGGCAGGCAGAAAAAGCAATTTTATTCCAGGAGAATCTTCACACTCGAGCTCATGGGGATGCGTTCCAGCATTGTCCAGCACTAAAATAGCTTTTTCCGGCAACTTTTGCTCTCTTAAGAATTTCTTGACTCTAGGTATAAATTCGTTTACGAACCAGTCAATGAAAATGTAGGAGTCCATCCACGCTGACTTCTGGGCACGATAAATCACAGGAAGAGAAGAAACGTTAATGTTCTTAAATGCTCGAGGTTTCTGGGATTTACCGATGACCAAAAGTGGAAGTTTATGTTCCCCAGATGCATTGGAACACAGGGCAACAGTTACACGCTCTTTGTTTAACTTAAAGCCTGGAGCTGAACTAGACTCTTCAACAGAGAATGTCTTTTGTGGCAACCGTTTAAAATTCAGCCCAGTCTCGTCCATATTATTGTATATTTGATCGGGTAGTAGCTTCTCTTCTTGAATTATTTTTTCGAGCTTCACCACAAATTCATCCGCTGATGGTGCGTCTGCTGACATTTTCTCCCCGCAAATATTTACAAATGTGACCCCGTGTCTTTTTTTCCAGCGGTCTAACCAGCCATTACTTGCTACAAACTCGTTGTTTCCTCCCAATTTCGTATGTAAAATCATCGACTTTTCTTTCAAAATTGGTCCTGAAATAGGAGTGCCCCTTCTTCTCTCTTGAAGAAACCACAACCACAAAGCATCATCAACCAACTCATTTGATGGTTTTCGCAAATAACGCCGTTCAGATAAAACTTTTTCAGTTTCGATTTGGGTACAAAAGTCCATCAAAGTTTTTCGATTCCGCCGCCAGTCATTAACCATGCTTTTCCTAACGTTTAATTCATTACATATTTTCGCCACAGATTCACCTTTATCAATACGCTCGATAGCGTTAAGTTTTTGTTCCACTGTCACCACGTTACGTTTACGTTTTGACGCACTCATTGTTTCATTGAAAAAATATTGTACTGTAACTGTACAGTAGTGTCACAAAACAAATCACTTAACTAAAAAACACAATTATTATACAGTACAGTATTGTACTACAGTACTGTACTGTATCCGCACTGAAAATAGTCGACTAACTGTTCACAAGTTGGATGTACAAGCTCAACTGAGTAAAGAGTCCAATATAAATGTATTGCAACAGGAAACAGAAACACATAAACAGGAAACAGATCAACCGTGAGAACGCTCAAACCATGGAGATTACGTGTACAGCCGTGGGAAATATTTTTGATATCAATTCCGGGAAGCGACCGGATAAACCGAGGACCGGAAATACCGCGGCCGGATATGAGGGGTTCTACTGTAATATGTTTTCGGGTATTTTATATGTTTATTTGTACATACTGTATTCCTATAATTTTTAAATCAAAGAGAGGATATAATGCCCAGACCCCCACCCCTTTCCATATCCACCCCACTGATGTGAAAAGCATAGTAAAAGAAGCAGCTAAACACTGCAAAAAGTTACAAATAGTAAATTGTGCTTACCCTGATTCTTCTTGTGTGAAAGGAATGACATTGAAAACCACAGTAGCCTCGTCTTCTAAACTCGCCCATTCAGACTCGGTGAAGAAGTCTTCATATCGGTAAACGCCTTCAAGATTAGTAGCATCTCTATGACATACTGGCAGACAGTGGTCAGTTGACGAGTCGGCCATTTGTATCTCCGATACATCCACGGAAACATCTAGCGACACATACAACTACATGATAACAAATTATCCCTTTATCATCCAACAAACCATTTAAAAATTATATTTTAAAGTGCAGATGATATCCAACCTTTTATTTGGCAAACGATTGTTGACTAGTCGCTATATCTGTTTCATTCACTAGCAAATGACTATTCACTAGTCATTTGAGCATCAGTCTTTTAAACTGCTTTGTTCTAACTGTAAGAGCATCACTTCAGTACCAGCACAACCCACAGTGGCTTTGCTCACAACAATTTAAATTAAAACCCTACATGTTTTATGTGATACAAAACATTAAAAACTTATCAGGGATATAGTCTGAAAATAACTTTTTATTAAATCCATTCATGTACAGTACAATCACCAAAGTCAAACATAGTGACTACTGATGTTATACTAAGGGAGAACTTCTTCATTTACAACATTAACTGTCCTTCCACCACAGTACCGGTGATAATATTTTTTTTTAAGAAGCCTTGATCATGGCAAAATCCAAAAACTCTTTCAAAGGACACATCATCGTCTTCCGCGGTCAAGAAAACTTAATCTTTTTTGCGATTTTGGCAAAATCTTGAATAGCCTATTATCAAAGCCTATGATACTCCCTAATAATGTCTGCTACATTATGAGGGGAAATCATAATTGCCTTCGCAAGAGCGTGAACTGTTTGATGGCTTAATTTTTGTAAATGTGTTCTTTGATTGATAGTGAAAGCTCAGTTAAACTTGGCCTATTTTATGTAAAATACCCTAAATTTAAGGAAAAATCCCACTATATAATTTTTTTACCATCCAAATGTGATACGGTCCCAATTTATTCAGATAGTTGGAGTTTAACTGAATTATGTCTGCAAAGGAGTGTTAAATTCAAATTCTTTAATTACTCATAACGTTGTATTACAATTTAAATAATAACTAGTGTCCCTGTTGCTCGAATTCGAGCAATTACTAAGTATTACAGGCGTTATTTTAAAACGAATAACAGTCATAATTTCTGAACACTTTAAAAGATTCGACTCAAAGATTATGAAAATACTCAAGATGTACATAACAGATCGATATAATAAACATTTCTTGTTAATATCTTTTTAGATATGGGAGATGCCCACTTTTTAGATTTAATGCATTTTATATGGGTAAACATCGTGTTGCTTAGGTACCATTTAAGAAAGAACCCTTTTAGCTATGCATATCAAATTTTAACTACTTATTTGTATTGACATTTAAGACAAACTGTACTAATTTAAATATGTTCTACCAAAAAAATCATATTTTATCAAAATTTTTAAAATATATAATTTTTTTTCACTATTTTACAAATATTAATTAATTTTATTGTTAATGTTTTTTTAAACATAGAAGCAAACTTTTAGTACACTTTGTGGGCCATGATGTCCTAAGTAACAGAAAAAAATTTGAAGTCAGTGGTACTTATAGTAGTCTGGAAAATGGTACCTAAACATTAAAAAACACAGTTACGGAAAAACTCATTTAAAGTCAAGCCTAGGCCTACCCTATGCCACATTATTCCTCATCACAAACAGCACTATTATTATATACACATATGTTATGAAGAAAGAAAAACAAACAGAAAAAGATTTTTGTTGACTATTTAACCTAGCAACAACATTTATTCAGTGCAACCATTCAACAAAATTAAATTTCTAACATAAATTTAATTGACGCTAATTCAGCCCATTGTGACTAAAACCGAGTGTGTAGTACTATTTATATTATTTTTTATGATTGTTAGACTGTAGTAAATATATTAAAATTATATATTTTCTGAATCAGGAAAAGATGAAGAATTTTTCAATGCAATAAACAAAAAATTAATTTTTTGACCGAAAAACTGGGCATCTCCCCTTAATATCTTATCATTTTTCAAAAGCTGATCTTGTTTTTTAGTGCTTTCTACAAATAGCCTTACTCATAGCTGCATTATATTGTCCATATGAATTATAAAAAAAAACATTATTTCTGTTTCTTCTCCTTGGCGGTGTTCTATGACTTTCCTATGTTTCCATAGTTTGCAGATCAGCTCTTTCAATGATTAATAAGAAATGCAGCACAGTGTTAATTCAGTTTTCTTTATAGGTAGTATATCAATTTACCCAGTCTCTCTCGCCTTTTTCCATTGTAATATTTACGCCAACCCAAATTCAAATAGTAAATATTTCATTTTAACCAAATAAGTACATGTTTGTAGCAAACTGTTAAATTAGCAAACTTATTGACGGTTTACAATTAACAAATGTTCTTCTTCTCACTTTTAATTTCTGACAACAGCTGGAGTTTCATAACAATATTTGTTTCCCATGTTAATCTTATGGAGAAATACGAAACTTTAAAGGGCCCCAGGGCCTATTTCTCTAATTATTTCCCTAAAAAGAAAGTTTCCTGCACAACTTCACGCTACGCTCTTTCCAATGACACCAAAAACATGTCAATCGGTTCAGTAGTTTCAGAGGAGTAATTGTCACAAAAAATCGGCTTGCGTATTAAATAAGTACGAGGTGTTAGCCCGTCCTACGAACGGGAGTAGTCAGTTAAAACGGTGTAGGCCTATAATTCAGAAAAGCTAGTTTACACGTATAAAGACAAATTTTATTGCAGCCTACAGTAGAAAGAGTAATAATCAATTGAGAAGTGTATAGGCCTTGTCAATGATATCACCTTCCATCACATACCTCTTCCATAATCAATATCACCACAATACAATTACTCATACTATACACAATTTCCAGTAGGTCTGAATTGAAACTCCCTAAAATAAAACGAAAACATCCAATAAAATTCACAGTACACATAATTATAACGTTGGTGTCCTGACATCATTAAACGAATCGTCCACACACATCCTTTATGCCAATTTCACTGCATCAATTGCTAAATAAATAAGTGTAAACAAAGAAAAGTAAACACAACAACATATTAGTTTGTTTTGTAAGCAGCTGAGTCAAAAATAATATTCATTTGAACAAAAGAACTGGTCACATGTTGAAGGAATTTAAAAAATAAAAACGATTGTAAAGCTAGTGACGTAATTAATTGTCTATGTTTATTATCCATTCCGTTATCAGTTCCAATATCCTTGATAACTAAACCACCCTCATTGAATCAATGTACATCGTAATTCCCCATATTCATTTATTTAAACTATAAAATATTCAGCGCCTCCAAACGTAACCACAACTAAACACACGCCAAACAACTTTTTTAGATTTCATAAAAGGATGGTTAGTCTAATTGCAGTATCCTAGGTCAATGATGACGTTGTGTTCAATCTATGTCATTCATCTTTGGATAACACCCGTCTGAGGTTGTGGTGGTAATTTAAAATCGTATTCCTGAGGATTCTTGATCTCCATCTTTATGTCATCAATATATCCGGGCCTAATCCAAACAAAGTTCAAGCATTCAACAACATTGATTGTAAACAAAAAGCTGCCAAGATGAATTAAAACATGTAAAAATTGTGATTTTTCTACCCTTTCCAAAAAAGTTGAGCAGTAAAATAATTTGCATATCTTTTTTATTTAACTCGTGTACAGAGCCTCGACTTGTACACATCGATGGTGTTACTTATCTCGGTGGTCTACTAATCTTACTTATTTTCTATAATCAATGACAAAATCAGAGTAAATAACCTCATAGTTCTATAGGGCATTTTTATAACTAACCAGCTGTTAGTTAGAACAAATTTTATTGCTCTAAAACAAATCGAAGATTACAAAGATTGCTTTAAGAAATAATTTGAACATCCTAGTATTTTACTATGTATATTAAATTAATCTGTCATCCTCTTACAGAAGAATTGAACGTATCAATGATTGTTATTTTTCTAATCTTTCCTTGAAAAGTGGAGCAGTAAAATAATTAGCATTTATCCTTTTTTATTAAGACTCGTGTACAGAGCCTCGATTTGTACTGTGGTTTAATTAATTTTGGTTAAAACTGTGGTTTAATCTGAGGTCTAATTATCTCTACTAATCTTACTTATTTCCTATAATCAATGACAAAATAAGAGTAAATAAAATAACCTCATACTTCCATAGTTTATATTTAACCAGCTGTTAGTTAAAACAAATTATATTGCTCTAAAACAAATCGAAGATTGCTTTAAAAAACAATTTGAACATCCTAGTATTTTACTATGTTCATTTAATTAATCTGTCATCCTCTTACAGAAGAATTGAACGTATCAATGATTAGCATTACACATAGTATAAATAGTCAACCCTAAGTATGTCTTTACATTTTTATCCAAATGCTGAATTTGTGACACAAAAGCTGAATGTTTACAGCTGTTATGTTAAGCAGATTATTTTATGCCAAAAGCTAGTTTAGAATCTTAGCGTCGGCTGCTAGACTTTAAAAAAATTGAAACTTAATTTCTAAAAAACTGGGACCCTAAACTAAAATTATGGCTTCGACATTCCCTAGTTCTCAAAATTATCTTTCTTTCAACACAAAAATCATGAAAATCCGTCGAGTGGTTGATTCAGAATAGTGAAATAAAAAAAACCCTGTTTCGTTTTAATATTATAGATAATATATAGCAGTTTTGTCAATATTCATTTAATGATAAAACTAATGGTTCAGAAAGTAATAGTAAAGTAGTACAAGTTAAATAATTTTATCCTTCTGACAACTTTTAAAACTAAGCTTAAACTAAATGAAGAAATAACGATCTAGTCTGTATTTATTTGTATATATATATATATATATATTTGTATATACCCTGTACCTATCTGTATATCAGGGCAGGATAAAGGCAACTGTCATGCATATGATTTGACTACAGCAAGAAGGGCTCTCTTTTTTCAATAGTAGCTATGTGATATGCAGAATACCCCCTCACTCTTCATAGGTTATTCTGCATACGCACATGGGAGCGTAGCTTTATAGCAAACCTGAATCTTTAAACTTATTCTACTTTATGCTATGAGCTGGGTAGCTGTTCCATAAGAGAACCGGATCGTGTTCATCAA